CAGGTCTGTATTTCAACAGCTCAGTTCAGGGGTGTAGCAACTGAGCTACCGTCTTCACCCGAATAGAATGCCCGGTCATTATAGCTGTATTTGGTGCAACTTTCAGTCCAGATACGGCGTTAATTACCAGGTGTTGTATTCGGGTGAAGACGGCAGGCCAGTTGCAACAGATCCAAGAATTTCTAAGTCTTGAGTGGATTAAAACTCGGACTCGAACCAACGGGCCTACCTCAGTTGGTACAGTCATGAACTGTTGAAAAATACAGACCCAGACAATCAGATGACCGGAGCTTTACCTTTTATTAACACTTCATACGTACCAAGTTCAACTTTTAGACCCATTCATCAAAAACGTTGTTGGTTACATTTCTCTGAATTACATGGGGCCGGTCAGTTATCTCAAGGCCATTGCCCTATTAAGTTATTAAACCACTAGTACCTTTGGCGTCTGGTTTCGACAAGTACTTGCCAGCTCCTGAACTTTCAGGAGGCCGAGCCCGACGTTGATCAATCTGATCGGCAGCCGTCGTTTTGTTTCGGCCTCCTGAAAGGTCGGAGGCCGAGTATTTTCGAACCGACAAAGGTATTAGTGCCTTAAAAAAAAAAAAAAAAAAAAAAAAAAAACACCTCGGGCTCGAGGTCGTTTAGTCTCTCCCACTCATCAAGTGCTTGAAACCACCAGTACATCTGGAGAATTAGATTGAGCCTCTCCAAAAAGTCAGGAGGGGACACAGAGACAGGGCCCGCCTGCCTAGGGGCGGGCAAACATTTTTCTTTTTTGTGCAGGACTGGGCCTATTGCCACCCCACCGCATGGGGGACACATTTTTTTTTCTTCTACACGCCCTTTGGACGCCCTGTCCCAGGCCTCCGAAATTTTTAGGCAAGGCTCAATTGGATTCTCAACTTGGCTGCTGGGACCATGTACCGGTGGTTTTACCTTCGAGTGCGAGCCTCGAGTTTTCTAATCATGTCCAGGCACATATCACATCAGCCATCTGGTTTGAAATTATAACAATCGTAATCGGAACAGGGCCATAAATGAAAAACACGTCACTCATCGCCGAGTCATCGGCCTCATGGTCCCATTGACATCATGGTCCCATTGGCAGTAAGAGCAAGAGGATCAGATAAGCTGATAAGAAGTGAAAGGGCAGTGGGTGGCTGAATGAAGAGGAGAGAGGAGAGAGGGAACGAGTGCTGACCTGCCGCTGTGACTCCCCTCCAGGCGCACGAAAGTCGGGCTGCATCGCCTGAATGCGGGCTAACATCGCAGGAGTGTACATTTCCGTGCGCGGTCTCCCCTCCCACTGCCCTTGGCTGAGTTCCACAAGCTGATCGGAAAGTATGATCTGGTCCTCTGGAATGCCAAGCTCCTGCGATACAAACCCAATGGCCTCATGTTTTAACGCACAGTACTAAAAAAACACTTACCTCATTCACAAACCTACCCACCTTTGCAACCCATCATAATCTGACAAATTTGGAACAATTCAGTCAAGATTAGGGTCAGTGCAAAAGAGGAATGACAGAAATAGCTGATATTTTCCTCCTTTTCTCCGTTCTCCTTTCATGTTGATAGATAGATAAAGACAAGGACAAAACTGCCTGCCAAGAAGGCTGATGCAAGAACAAAAAGGGGGGGCATACCCCACAAGACTTACCCTACAAGCCTTGAATTAGCTGGACCTCTCATCTTCCTGGGTTTGTTTTAGGGGCTACTGAGGGTATACTCACGCTCGCTGCTGGATGCTTTGCTGCCCACCCGCCCGCGCTAGCACCTGGCTGTTATTTGCCTTGTGGTGCCTTGCTGATTGCCCATATTTGGCTTCACGCCCGCCCGCCTCGGCGCCTACCCCCGCTGGCCCGCCCTTTGTGTTACCGCTGCTTTCTTTGCCTTGTTGCTTCTGCTGTCGCCGGGCCGGCTGTCCACTCGCAACAGGGGTTGGCGGAAGTGCTAGTGTGAGTATGCCCTGAGGGCCTGAACAGCTTGGCTTTGCTGCTTGCCTGGTTGCCCTACTGGCTGCTTTGCTGCCCACCTCCCTGCTAGCACCTGGCTGTTACTTGCCTTGTGTTGCCTTGCTGCTTGCGCATATTTGGCTTCATGCCCGCCCGCCCGCCTCCCCCCCCGCTGGCCTTGTTGCTTGTGCTGTCGCCTGGCTGACCGTCCACTCGCAACAGCGGTCGAAGTAGACTATGACTCAAGGCATCAATATGGGGACTCCACAACCTGTCGACGCTTCAGCCTCCGGATGACTCCACGCCCGGGGATGATTACACACATCCACTGGGTGGCTGTTGTCTCCATGGATCTCGTACTAACAACGAAACAGTCTGTCAGGATCCTTCTCTTTTTCTTCCTACTGCATATGCAGTTCTGTTTTCTAGGTTGTTTCATTATTATACTACTTAATATCTAGTATTTACACCTTTTGGTTTAATGCACTCACTGCGGATACATTTTTTATGCACATGTTGTCACACCGCTCAACTGGTCGCAGCATGCTGCATTACAAGTGCAGTGGCCTTAACATCCCAAACAAGCCTATTCCATGCGAGTACTTTTCCTTTTGTTCCTTCTAAATATGTTTCTTCATGTTGTCCACTGTGCTAGCTGTGTTTGATTCCCTGTGCTCTATAGCAAACATGATAATGTGCGCACACACACACACACACACACACACACACACACACACACACACACACACGCACACACACACACAGCATCGCACACACATACACACAAGCTGCGTAGCATCGTGTCCACTGTGCTAGCTGTGTTTGATTCCCTGTGCTCTATAGCA